ACATTTTTAAAACATGATTTAACTTGATTTTGAAATTAATCGGGCTACATATAGTAACACCATTTTTTAAACAAGGATGCATATACAACACCCATACTCTCAACATTATTAATGGCATATTATTACTAATAAAACAAATAACAATAAAATGTAATTACAATGTAACAAACCTACCACATGTAGGGAGTGAAATAATACAAGTCAGGATAAGAAGCCAATGTAAAGGCGATCTTAAATTTTACTTCCTACATTTAAGCTAATATAAACTAGCATGAGTAAAAATAAAACACGTTTACTCCAATTATACTCTGTATATTAATAAATGTACATTATTTTAATGGTATCTTAGGAGGCGGGTTTTGTGTGAAGCCGGTTGGAATTGTCGATAATCAATTTTTCATCCAAATATACATTATTTTAACAATATTTTTTTTTACTTTTTAAATAAAACAAAATAAATAAATGACATAATGTGTGTGTATATACATACATATATATATATATATATATTTAACTAATGTAGATTATTTATAGAAACAGAACTTAATGATAAATAATTTTAGAAGTTAATTAGAGCAACTTATTTTTTATTTGCCACACTACAATAGTCAAAAATGTAAAGAGTTAATTGCAAATGCTCTAAGGAATCCATTGGTGTACTTTTCTCAAACTACCAATATTAGTTACAAATATAGGCATAGAAATCGTAAATGATGTTTGGAATGTAATCAAACATTATCATGTTTTGGGCATTGCGTCATTCCTCCCCAAATTATGGGGAATCAAAAAGTTCACCTCAATTAGATCCCATCTTTAAGAGGAGGAGAACTATGGATGTCTTATAAGAGACTGGATATTAATGACCATTTGTCTTGTAACAATAAGGTTTTATTGTTACATTCAATTCAAATTAAAAACGAGGGTAAAACAAGAAATGATTTTTAGAGCAACAAATGTTTTATAAAATTAAGAAACAAGTATATATATATGGAGGTTTGTGACTAGGTTTTGGGGCCCATAGTGTCTCCTCTTTTACTGAGCTTGTCTCACTTTTACGAAGCTATTTCATGTCTCATCCCTCATCACTCTGTCTACCACCCTTTACCCTCCCTCCACACACTCTGCACTTTCCACATTCATGTCAACTTTCAATAAAAATACAACAAATTCTATTAATCTGTACATGCAAGATTCATTGTCTTGTGTTCAAGTATTCATGTGCCATAGGAACTGAAACACTAGTATTTGATAAGGGTGACGTGAAATAAAGAATAAAGTATGGTGGAATAATTGAGTGAAAAAAGGGATGGATAATAAGTATGAACATGTTCAATTTGGCTACCCTCCCTGTCAACAACCCACTAACTTTCTGAAATCAAAGGATAAGAGAAAGTGTACAAACCAGTTCTTGAATCATGCAATTTTTTTTTGTGCCTAATTGTCTTACAACACGTAGGAGGGTACCTCATCTCTTTCACAGTCTTTCATTTTTGTGCTCTCATCAATCATTTCATCTTCATACTCTTTCAACACATTCTCCTCAACAATCGCCACGTCTCCTTAATTCCCGTTCACTTAAATTGTGATCAAAACCACGATTCTAGCAAGCAAAGCCTAGAAATGAGTGCAAATCCTTCAAAAATGTTAATAGTAACATATCCTAATCAATCCCAAGAAAAAAAAAAAACGTGTAGGGCAGGTTTTTGGACGTATAGGTTGGCAAGAGGACATACATCTCAATCAGATTCTTCTACTACACCAATGAAGTAACAGCTTTATAAAGAAGATTAAGGACTCTCTGTAAAGCAGAAACAACAAAGGAATATGAAGATAGCATTAGCTCAAGTGTTCTAACCCTTTTCTTTAAAAGCAGAAACAACAATAATTTAAGTGCAAACACGATGATCAAGTCTCAATTACTGAATTATGTCTGACATGCATGGCATAATGTTTGCAGATAATAATGCTACTCTTTGGCTTCAACTCAAAGATAACAAAAGCATCAGGAATCATAGAGTCACAAAAACCTTCGTTACGTAATTCAATCTAAAAAAGATATATGACTCATTAATACATACTTTCCTTTTTTACGATGTTCCCTTTCTTTGCAAAATAAAAAGATAAAGTTACCTATTTGTCCATTATCTTCCTTACATATTACTAAGACCAATGATTCTTGTCCACTAGATCTACGTTTTAATAAAGGGTATTTTAGACATTTAGTTAACATGTGTATAGGAAAAGGTTACAATTTTTCATTGGAAGTGGAGAGTAGCATTCACGAAGAATGGGAGTGAAAAGGTGATTATATATATATATATATATACGGTGGAGGTTCAAACGAGAACCCCTGTGATTTACGAGAACAAGAAAACAACCCAATAACCTCAAATTTTTTTAATTAATAAAATAACTTATATTAAATATAAATAAATTAATAAGAGCAGTAATGTAATTAAGTAATTTTTATTTTATTTTAATTAATTATAATTATCTTTTTTTTTTCATGCATGCTCGTTTCCACTCTCTTCTTTTCCCTTGTGATAATTGTGTGATTGTGTAACCATAACCTATCGAAACCATGAGTTATCGTTGTGATAAGTATGTGATTATCTAACCCTAACTGATCGAAACCATGATCAAATTGAGTGCGCAAGTGATGTTATACTAGTGATATCACATAATTATCACACTCATATAGCACCAAATCGTTTAGTGGATTTTGTCCGTAATCGTTGTGATAAATGAGTGATTGTCTAATTCAAACCTATCGAAACCATGAGTCATCGTTGTGATAAATGTGTGATTGTCTAATTCAAACCTATCGAAACAATGAGTAATCGTTGTGATAAATGTGTCATTGTCAAACCCTAACCGATCGAAACCATGATCAAATCGAGGCGCTGTAATGATAGTGATATCACATGATTATTACATCCATATCACACAAATCGGTAGTCGATCCCCTAATTAAGTTAACCCTAGCCGAACGGAATCCTTGTGATAATTGTGTGATAATCACATGATTATCACACCCAAATCACACCAAATCGTGTTGATATAAGCGATAATGTGATAATTGTGTGATAATCACATGATTATCACACCCAAATCACACCAAGTCGTGTTGAAATAAGCGATCATCATAATAGCCCATTATGTTATCCAAATTATTGGGTTTAGTGTGATCGTGTTTTTAAAATTTTATCACTTTGAGTTCCAATATTACCTTTTTGCCTCTCAAATTTTTTTGAATTGCTTTAATTTTATTTTTAACTTAAAAAATCTTTTACTTTTTATTGTTATAGGGTTAATAAGTTGTTCTCGCGTTTTCGTAAATCACAGGGGTTCTCTTTTAAACCCTTCCCAATATATATGTATATGTATATGTATCCCATTGTAAGGAATGCTTGCCTAACTTCAATTGGGAGTAATCATTCCCTAATCTTTGTAAGCTTTTAAATAATAACCAACTTTTGGTAAGGAAAATCGATGCGAGCTTTAGTTTAAGTGTGTTAGGCGGTGATAAAGATTGTTTCTTGTAGTGGTCTGGTCCCTGCCCCCATGATGCTCTTTCTGATTGATCATGCCTAACCCCATTATTTATTAACAAGCCACTCAGTTTTGACGATTGGACTCGTTTATCTTGTCCCATACTAGCTGGACTTTGGTCTAATCATTGGCCCATGAACTATCGTATGCTTCATAGATATCACTAAATGTTGTCCAACTTTTCATAGCATATGCTTCATAAATGTGTAGGGCTGATTGACCAAGTCTTGAGCCGTAACAGCAAACAGGGACCAGAGGGTTTAAAGACTGTCAATGGAACTGTAAAACCCCACCCAACTCTAGTGTCAACTAACAACGTTCAAATAGGCATATTTTGGGAGACCCATTTGAAGGATAACTTCAGGGGCCTCTCCTTAATGATAAAGGACAGAGACATGTGAACTAATTTGGACACGAGATAATAAATGCATAGTGAATAACTTGATGAAGGTTTAGTGTTTCATGTGAACCCAATTAGGATCTCCAAAATTCTTTTGAGAGGTATATGAAATAAACACGTACTAACCTCCCAAAAGAGGAGTTCTAGAATCAGGCGTTCTATCAAACAGGTTTCTTGCATCATGATATTTAATCACTACATGTCCTGCTACGCAATTTCTGTCACATATTTTATGAAATGATATTCCTTCAGTTTCAAATGCCATGGTAGAACTTCATTACCTGTTGCTATCTTGAGCCCTATGTGCTGCTTATATGCTAGAAAATGGATTGTTCTCATACAAATTTTTTGATAGTTTAGTGTCACAGCAGCAGTTGGACATCTAAAACAAAAGACCAGACTGTATCTTCCATCTATGTTGATGATCTTTTGTCTTCAAAACTATGAATGACATCATCAGAATCAAATACTTCTTCTCATGACTCATGGTGGGTGCCTGAAAATAAAAAAATTAGAAAATTTGTTTTGAGCTATAAAGGGAAGGGGATGGAAAGTTCAGGGACTGGATTTGCCAAAAAACCCAAACTTTTGTAATGAGGAGCGTTGGGGTGGACCGGTGGTTACCGGCAACGGTTGGGGTTCGAATTGGTATCCGTTGAAGCACCATTCGGGTGAGATTCTTGCCATCATCTTCGTCCCACTTTCCCCAGAAAAATCCCTCTGAGTTTGCAAGAAACGATCGATAATAGAGAGAATTCTGCCGAGGTTTCGGTTACGGTTCGTTTGAAATTCAAGCGTCAATTGGAGGTAAATTCTAAAACAAGTTCGACGATGTTTACATAGTTGAACTCGTTTTTAGTTGCTAATTTAGTAATGCGAGTCTAGAGTCATACATGGCCGTTCGTTGCCAATTTTGGCCGGAAAGCTGGCGGGTCTCGACAACGGGGTTAAGAAAACCCCCAAATCCGAGCATGTTAGTTGATGTCAATTGTTGTAATTTGTGCTATAGGTTAGTGATACCTAATAGTATGCAAAAGAAACGAGTCCGTTTGAGCAAAAATGGAACTGGAATTCGAAAGATGGGGGGTTCAAACATGTTTTATGAACAAAGACGATTGATTTAATTCTGATACAAAACCCTAGAAATCATGATACGATTATCTCGTTTCAAATTTCTCAGAACCCATTTCACAAATCATTCTGAATCAAAATATTCAGGATCATTTGGCTTGGGTACTGGGGTACGAATAGAATCATCAAAATCCAATATCTCGCATCTTCTAACATTTGTACCCAACGAGATGCCTGTCTCCCTAATCCTCGCTTTATTCTTGCTTTGTTCGCTAACATTCTCACGGTTATAACTCTCTTTCGCCTTCAACATTCCAATTAACTTTCGCCTTTTGTATCGTTTCCATGCCGATTGTATAAAGCAAGCAGCCCAGGTCCTCCACTGGTGCGAATGAACCCTGAATGTGTGTCTCAGCTTCTTGTTATGCAGCTTCTGAAACCGTGTGGCCACAAACTTCAAGTCCTCAGATGGAAGACCAAATGCTTCCACCTCCATAACTGCTGTCACTGTCCTCGTGGACAATGGGAGGGTGTCCGTTGAACGTGGGTCCAGTGCCCACGTCAACAGCTCCTCCCCACAAAAGTCTCCCGGACCAATCTCGCACTGATTCCAGAAACCAGCCCGTCCTCCATCCGTCGTGTAGGAATCTAGATGTCCATGCATTATGAATAGCATTTCATTGGTTGGGTCGCCCTCACGCAATAAGCAAGTTCCGGGTGTGCATATCACAGGTCTTAGTCGTTCGCATATTGCATCAATTGTGCGTTCGTCCATTTGATCAAAGAGTGGAACCTATCAAGTGATCACATATATAATCTGTAAGGATGTATATAATGTAAAACTACGTGGATGATCGGTAGATCAGAGAACTCACACGTCTAACTAGTTCAATGCAGATGTGATGTTTGATATCTCTGTGGATATCCATAGGAAGGGCATCCAGAATGGCTTTTTCTTCAACCTTCCCTTGTTTGATCCATTTGTAAAGGTCGTGTTTGCGCACACGCTCCCTCATCGCTTCCGGAAGTTGCCGGTGGTTCATCCATCCTTCTGTATCCATTTGCTGGATCCTATACTCTTCTAATCTCTGGGATCTTGATTCAAGATACGTCTGTTTCCCAAAACATGAAATCAAACATTCTTCCATTCAATCAATTGAAAGTAAAATTACCAGATAATCAATAACCACTACAACAAAATCATCTGTATAAGAAGTCAAATATGTCTAAATGTCTTAATAGACTACTTTACAATGACGGGTAAAAGCTCACCTCCATGGTGCCAATAACCATAGCAAGGAGCAACAATCCTGTGAGCGATATGACTATGCAAAAGTGTGTTTCTGCAAGAAATGTACTTGCTTGAAGTTCCTCAGCTCTGGAGCTGCAAAACTCATAAAGTTAAACATGGAAACTAATCGAATCCATGTGTTCATAACTCAAGATTGGGGTTGGAAGCAAAGTTACCCTATTGCCCTAAGACCCCACCAAAGACAATACGAGTATTTTGTGAAGAAATCCAAGGATGCAACTCCATAATCTACAGCATCAAAGATCATCCCGTATTCGTAGGATTCTGTCTCCGGTCCACATGCATCGGTGATATTACTCGTTTGATACCACGATGCACGGCCAGGATCATCGAGATAACGACAATTGAAAAACTTCTCACCGCACCCTGGTTCTTCACTGTCGCATACCTCTTTCCAACACAGTCCTTGCCTCTCGATTGATAGAAGATAATAGCAGGCTCCGAAAACCTTCCAAACATTTTCAACAATCAAACGAACTCAGATTCGATTCTGCTTAATTTGAGATTAAAAAATCGAGAAAACTAAGATGATGAAGAATTAACATTACATACATGAGCTGCCAACAGAAAGAGGACTATATTATAAGCAGCCCCAGCCAATGTGGATTCAGCCACCACCCCAACTACTTGTGTTAAATGAGATGTAAGTTTGAATATAAGATAGAGCCTCAAGAAGAACTGAAACATGATGAAGTACAGTATGCTGATCTTCGTACTCAGCATTTCCGATTTATCAAAAATCGGAAGCCATGTCAATACCTGAAACATTTTCAATCCATCACTATGAACACGAACCAAATGTTTTTTTTTAGCTTAATCTATAAATTATTCATAGTGAAGATGTGAGAGAGAATGAAGAATGCACCTGTGGAATAGGAAGAGAGGCAAGCAAATCAAGAGAGAAGTCTCTCTTGAGATACCTTTGAGAGATCTTAAAAGGGTCTAGAACCAGCTCTCCTCTTCCGAGCAAGCGAGTGGAAGGAACATCGTAAGCTGTGCGGAAACGAACATAAATCTGAATGATGTAGAAAACGTCGACAATGGATCGAATGACGGTTAGAGTGATCTTTAAGGAAGTATCTTCACCCATGCACATCTCCTCCTGGTTCACTAAAGGCAAGTAAAAGAAAAGAGGGTCTATGGCAATGGAAATAAGGGATGCAACTAAGAAATACTTGTTCCATTGCCTTACACGCTCTCCCCGAGGATCGAAAACACGACCTTTGACTTTTCTGTAGTCCTCGGAGAACACTCTCGTAAGTCTTTGGCTAATAACACGCCGGTTCTTGTTGGGTACCAGAGATTTTTCAATCTCAAATCCGGCAAGTTTTGTAGAATCGGGATCCATTTTCTTCCGGCATGTGGCTAATTAGATGAAGGCCACCATTTTATAGACGAACTGAAGCGGTGAACAAGAACCAGATAAAGATTGGCGATCATTTTGGAGCATATGAGATCCCTGATGTTGTCTCTTGTAAGTTGCTTCCATTTTTATATTTGTTTTAATTTCCATTTAATGAAATCATTATATAGTAATTATACTGATGTTCAACGGTATGTGTTTGGTAGATGGTTTGAAATTCTATTCCTCGTCTTTTCTGGGATTTGGTACATACAAACACCAAAATAGATTAACGATTTCCTGCAAATCCATATCCATACTCTGATACATAAATTGCAAAAATTCAAAATTAGTCTACGCAAGATAAAACTCTCGTGGTTGCAGCTTTCTCGTCTTCAAGGTCGGCCAACGCTATTTGTAGTGATCGAAAACCGACCCATCATACTGTTTAGAATTGAGGTCTTTGTTTAGCTTCAGCGACAGTGACACGGATATTTCTACCATCAACATTCTGCGCAAGACATTATAACAAGAAAGATTCAAGAAAAACAAGATTTTGAAGGGAAATCAAAGGTGGAGGAGGTTATGAAATGTAGCTACTTACAAGGCCWTCCAATGACTCGATTGCACTATTGACCTCATTGGCAGAACTGTAAGTTACGAAACCAAAACCCTTTGATCGACCACTGTCCCTATCGTAAATTACTCTAGCTTCCAAAACATTTCCTTGATCCTGAAATAAGGTTTCAAGAGCCAGATTGTCGACACTCCATGCAAGGTTTCCAACATAAACCTTGTTCGCGTTGTCGGAGCTTCTTCCCCCTCCACCACCACCACCACCAAAGCCGCCACGGCCTCCATCTCTTGAAGTCCCTCTGAAAGAAGACTCTCCTCTGCTTGGAGGTGGCCCTGAATTTACCCTCAGTTGTCTTCCATCAAGTTCCTGCAATTTCAATACATTCTTGCCGAAAACTGAAATGTCTAACAGAAGAAACACACATAATACTAGCTCCAGAGAGATGAAAATTCAAACACCTGTTGCTAGGAATGCTATTATATCTTGTAATAAAGAAACCCCATCAAAAAACTTACATAGCCATTGAACTGGCGAGTAGCCGCCTCAACTTCTTTGATGGATGACATAGTGACGAAGCCAAAACCCCTGCTTCTTCCGCTAATTTTGTCATATACAACCTGCAGCAATCACAAGTATGGTTCACTTGTCTCATTGTTTTCATCGTACATTCAACAAAAAAGAGCAAATAGCTAAATAATGCACCCATAAATAATACAGATTTGCAAGAATATGAAGGATATTTTGGAATAAGAAAGTAGGTATATCTAAAAGCATAGAAAATAAAACTTCCAAATTAGGTTTAAAACAGCAAGTTATACCTCAACCATCTCAACATTTCCAGCTCGTTGAAAGAGATCAGCAAGAGCTGCACTGTCAATGTTAAACGGCAGGTTACCCACATAAACTTTAAGGTCAGGTGAATAATTGGGCTGCTGTTCTTCATCACCATCACTTGATAAGTCCTCGTCTAACTCGAAAGACGATGCAACAGCTAGATTTCGGACAAATCTTGACGAGGAGGTGGGTTCAAAGAGCTTGCTGGAAGTAGTGGATATGGAGAAAAGCTTCGGAAGAGGATTAATGGAGATGAAATGGGAAGGGATTTTGGGGATAGAAGATAGGGTTTTAGAGGAAGTAAGAGTGAAAAGTTGAAAGGAGAGCGTAGAGGAAGCCATTGTTATGGGGTAAGGTTTAAGGGGGTTTTAGGAAATTTGAAACGCCTTGCCAGAGAGAGGATAGGGCGGATGAGGAGGGAGGGGATAAGAGATATTTCATGGTTTATATAAATTGGTTTCGTCATGGGTATGGGTTGACCCGACCCATCAACACCTTATCTCGATATCTCATCAATTATTGTTTTAAATCAACTATTGTCATTCCATACCCTAAACATTACTTTTGGAGGTAAACAGCACCCAAATGATATGACAGGCACAAAAATCACCAACACTGTGTGTCTCGTTGTTTCGACAAAAATGAACAAGGGCTGAATCAAAGTAAAGAAACTGAGCTCTTAAAATGCAGCAAATTTGGTATCGAATTTGTATGTTTGCACAAACTTAAAAAGAAACCAAGTTAAAGCATCCGCTCAAAGCGATCCATTAGTATTTTGATATCAGACTCGCAAAATATATGATTTTTCCTTGCTATGTCCCCTGTTCTTGTCTATCAGCAGCTAGTCGACTCGCCAATTCACTCAACTCGCGTGCTGCATCGCGCATTGCCAACAGTTCCAGCCTCTCCACATGATCCTCCACCCCCTTCAACACGTTTCTCTGAGCTTCCGACATTTCCTCCACATTACAATCCTCTTTCAATCCACCCAAACACGATGAATAAACATCCACCTTACTCCCAAATCTTTTCCTTTTCATCTCTTCAACCAACTCCAATCCATCATCTACTCTATTAGCTGAAACGTACCCTTTAATCATAGTCGCATAAGTAACCAAATCTGGTTCTATGTTTCTTCCCTTCATCTCCACAGCAAGTTTCTCTGCCTCTTCCATTTTCTGAACTTTAGTGTACCCATTTATCATCGTATTGTAAGTAATCAAGTTTGGCTCCAAGTTTCGTGCCTTCATCTCCACCAAGATCTTCTCTGCATCCTCCATTTTTCTAACCTGAGAATACCCGTTAATCATTGAATTATAAGTAACCAACTGTGGTTCCATCTTTCGATCCTTCATCTCCATCAAGAGCTTCTCTGCCTCCTCCACTTTCTTCATCTGAATATTTCCATTAATCATCGTGTTATAAAGAACGAAATCAGGAAAAAGTTTTCGACTTTTCATATCTTCAAAGAACCGGTTTGCTGTCTCAACTCTTGATGAACGACAGAAACCCGAAATCATGAGTGTGTAAGTATGTTGAGTTGGAACTACACCTTCAGACAACATTTTATCAAAGAACTTCTCAGCCATCCTGAACTTGTTTTCATTTATGATCACCTGCAACAAAGGATGATACGACTCGATCGTTCTGGGCACACCCAATTCCTCCATTTTCATGAAAATTTTAACACAGTTCTTAACAATGTCCCATTTGCGATTGCTCTTTGCATAACCATGGATCATAAGAACAAACAAATGTTCATCGTAATCAAGACCCTTTTTAGACATACTCAACAAAATCCGTTTAGCATCCTCAAGCCTTCGATCTTTACACAAAATCTCAAGCATTTTGTAATGTGTTTCTCTGTCATGCTTAAACCCAAATCCTTCCACCCATTGGAAGAATCGTAAAGCACGACTAGGGTTTCGATTTAATACATTGTAAACAAGATTGTGATCAAGCAGAGGAACAAAATTTGTAATCGAGCTCTGCAAACGGGTCGCCCAATCGTCATCTTCCATCATTCTGCAAATTGCATCCTCAATCATTTGTGGATGACGATTGATCTCACCGGCGATTCTTGATTGCCCATTCTTAATCATCCCGGCTTGTGATTCTCGGGTCGAAAGGTGTGCTTTCGGATCTGGGTATTTTTCATTTCGGGGTTTATCCGTTGATGAATAGAAACGGTAGTGGGGTTTGAAGAGTCTGTAGTGTTTGAGGAGTCGTGGCTTTGATACAGCGACATAGCGAGAAGCCATTTTCGGTGATTTTGCCGAACTGAGTGTGTAGGTAGGTTTAGGGTTTTTGTACCGAGTTCAAAGTTACTCACTGCACTGAGTTGACTCAACCACTCTAAATGTACAACATATGATGCATAGACGTAGCTCCATCTTTCTTGTGAATTGACTGAATCACGAGTTGGCTCCACGTCCATCTAAATGAGATCAAAGGTTTTTCATGATACCCGTAAGAATAATTTATGTTCATTGATCAATTTTATAAGTTAATGATCTAAAGTTATACGGTGACATTTTTGTGATTATTGAGAAGTCTCGTAACAATTTTGTAATTATGAATGTTTAGATTGTAGATCTAATTCAAGGGTTGAAAATTGGTCTTATAGGTCTCATAAAAAACATTTGGTCTCATATGATCCCAAATCTAAAAAGCCATTTATTTATTTAAGAATTTATAAATATTGATTTTGGGTAGATGACTCATGACTTCAGAACTTTGTTTATCGGTTAACACATATGAAAGTTGGGCTGTTGAAAGAAAATGGGCCGTAAGCCCACTGTTTGATGAATGGGCCAAGGACGTCAATTCAAATAAAAATCTGCAACGTTTTCCTTCCAATCAATACATTAATAATTATTTTATTCTTTAAAGATTTCAATGGTTTTAATTTGAGATTTAATTTGATATCATCAATTTACTTCATTTTCTCACTAAATTTCATGTATAATGTGCTTTGTTCAAGTATTCGTTCGAAGCTATCATACACCATTACTATTTGCTATCATACACTACGATTCACAAACTAACCAACCAAACGACTAATTGTACAACCATAAATATAGTTGTAGTAAAAATAGCCAGCAAACCAGATTTATTAAAATAATAATAAAAAAATAAAAAAAAAAAGTATGTGTTGACCACATACATGATACATGATGCATATGCATGGGTTTGTACAAATCCATGAAGTAAGGAAGAAACTACCAAATGTTTGGTGTCGGCCTCATAACGAAAGACATGTGTTTGCAGAGACAACATACAATGAACCAAACACTTGTTTACAATCCCCCAAATATCACAATCTAATTACCAATCTAATCTCAACCTTACCCTTTTTCTTTTTCTATTTCTTTTTTAACAAAAAGTTCAGATTTATATCAATAAAATAATATCATTTTATATGTTTTTTTTATTGAAAAACAATGTTAAACGTACCTTTCTTTTGTTTATTTGTAATGATGATGAATAATCAATCTTTTTTAACTTTAAATCTTTTTGGAAATATGGAATATTTTACAAAATATAAACGCAGTTATTGAGAAACAAATTCAATCATTTTAGTTATAGATAACGACCGATAGCTGTATTTATTTATGGACAATTCAAATTCCGACAGATCAAATTATGTGGGTTTAGTGCTTGCGTATTTTTTATGAACAATAAACCCGTTGGGAAATAATTTGGGGTTAACGAATTAAATTTAAATTTGGTTATATAATTTGATGCATGAATTTTCAGCAAATTAATAAAAAAGAAATTAAAAGTTTAATTATGAGAATAGATGAGGGGACAAATTGGCATTATATTTAAAGTATTAAAAAACCCCTCAAAACTATGGAATATTGTATGGGGAAAATAACAAATAACGGTGTACTTAACTGCTAAAAGCATATTAACATTAAATAAATTTTCTTGGAGTTAGTTATTTTATGGAATATAATTTTTAAATGCTTGGTAAAAGAATAATATCTACAAGATCTGTAAATAATACTTTTTAAATTGTTTTAATATTTGTAGGTTCTTTTGCAATTAATGTGCATTGAACATTGCATGTTTTAGTTTCAATAATCATGTCATTAATTTGCTATTCCATTTGACATGTTACATGATGAAAAATATTATATTTATATACATCTATATATACATATGTGTATTGTGTATTTACACATATACATACACGTACATGTATAGATTTGACAACATGAACGATAATATGTGGAACTCTAGATATATAATATCGGGTTTTTGCTTTTAATTCTCGTAAGATAAAGATAGTTAATTAACGTCAAGCCAATCTCTCTCTCTCTCTCTCTATCTCTCTCTCTCTCTCTCTCTCTCTCTATATATATATATATATATAAAGGAGAATCATCAAAAGATGATGTGGCATCTTGAGAGGACTAGAATCATTAGTTGCAATTTTTTCAATTTTTGAATTATTTTAAATAAAAACATATCATTAAATGAATAAACCTTTATGTTCGTTTAGGCCGTTCATTTATGTTCGTTCGTTTACGTTCGTTTAGCATGTTAACGAACGAACATAGAACGTAAACGAACGAACATAAACGAACACGAACACACCCTATTTCTAAACGAATGAACACGAACACAAAGATTTTCGTTCGTTTACCGTTCGTGTTCGTTCGTTTGTTCGATTAAGTTAAACGAACGAACATGAACAAGCCTCCGTTCCTGTTCGTTCGGTTCGTTTATAGCCCTAGATATGTGTGTATCTGTGTGTGTATAAGGACGAGTAAATGAAATTAAAATTAGTATATAAATAAAATTATAATCAATGTACATAATTAGATATTTATTATTAACTCTGTCATTAGTAAACGAAATACTTATTACATTTAATATCACTTAGAAAACTAATTAAAATAAATAAATATAACA